CTTCTCAGGGGAGGGGCAGGCATCCACTTAGTATTTGGGGCTGGGACCAGCCCCCTAGATCTCTCCACTGGTTCCCTACTCCGCGCCGGCATGTTGTCTTCACACCTTGGAGCACTGGGTTGAAGTTTGGTCCCTCTTTTCCTGTGGAGATATAAACAATACCCTCCCCTTGGGTGGGTTACTTGCTCTTCTCTTTCTCATGCGGAGGCATGGAGCATCTGCGGCAGCATGGCTTCCTGGGTGGTGTGATGTGCTTGTCTTACTGAAAAATAAATTATGGTGACAAAGGCTAACGTCATTTCCTACTGTTGGTTTTCCCACCAATTTGAAAAATCACCCATTTCACCACTGTTACTTGACTGCCATAAACTCTGTGTGTGCACCTATTGTTTCGTTGTTGTTGTTGTTTTCTCTTATTTGAGGTAAGTTCTTAATGAAAGGTGTGAAGCCTGGTACTTTCCAGAATTACTGCTCAAATGTTTTGAAGAGGGCATCTTCAGCCCCACCAAGAGGTGACAATTGAGCTAGCATGGCACCAGACAACAGCTTTTCGCCAAAAACTTCTTCATTCTTGACAATGCACAGGATTTAAAAAAAAAAAAAAAGCACTATTACAAATTTCAGTTTTCATTTTATGTCAAACATAAAAATTCCTGTTACTGCCCCCATAATGAATAACTTTTGCCACATTCAGACATGTTGACTAAAGGCATGAAAAATAATAAAAGAGTCAGAAAAAGGAACTGCTCTGTGCATGCGCATACACTAATAGTGACAAATAAATAAGCCACAATTTTAAAATTGCTAAGTTAATGGCATTTTCCATTTAGCCGTGGTTGGATTTTGTAGGATCTTTTACCACTAGAACTTAGAAAAGTATAATCCTTATTTTGCATAGACTCAGACAAATTCATTTCACTACCATCTTCCTGGATAGAAGTTGCCAAGCATCTTTGCAGCAGGTTGGTTTTATCTTCAGTGTAAAGCTGATAAGGATATGAACTGCTTAGAAAGGAGGGTCTTTGCATATTCTGTGCCGTGGTTATGTCTAATTGTGTCTGTCACCTCCGGTTCAAATTGCTAACACTATCCTTTTGAAAGAAAAAACTAAAGTTGATGATGTCCCGTATCTCCAGTTGCTGCTGCTATTGGCAACCCCATGCACAACAGGTTTGGACAGTCATGGACTAGAGAGTTCTCACTGGCTGATTTTCAGATCATCAGACATTTCTTGCTGATCCTTCTTAATCTGGAAGCTCCTTAGAAACTCCTTCAACATCATAGCAACACATAAGCTTCCAAGAACAGATAGGTGGAAGCTGGATTAGCCTAAAATTGAACCCAGGTTTCCAGAGTGGGTAATGAGAATTCTACTCCCGAGCAACCACTGCCCATAGACATCTGCAAGAAAGATTCTTAAACATTGGAGCCCTTTTGAAACAGTTGGACAAGTTTGCTGTGTGGGTGTTCCCTCAGGATGGCCCGATAACTACTTCCCCAGGTGGCTGGGGAGTAAGATTTGCTGGCTACTCTTTTACCAAGGAGTTCCACATTAACCTAGTAAAACTACTGGCATATTTTTTTTTCTTTTTAATCATTTTATTGGGATTCATACAGCTCTTATCACAATCCATACTACATCCATCCATTGTGTCAAGCACATTTGTGCATAGGTTGCCTTCATCATTTTCTTTTTACTTAAGCCCTGGTGTCATCTCCTCATTTTTTCCCCTCCCTCCTCACCTTACCTCCCTCATGAACCCTTTACAACTTATAAATTATTATTATTTGTCATGTCTTACACTGACCAATGTTTCCCTTTACCCACTTTTCTGTTGTCCATCCCCCTGGGAGGGGGTTATATGTAGATCAGTGTGATTGGTTACCCCTCACCTTCCCCTTCCCATCCTGGTATCGCTACTATCAATATTGGTCCTAAGGGGTATATCTGTCCTTGATTCCCTGTGTTTCCAGCTCTTATCTGTACCCATGTGCATGCTTGAGCCTAGCAGGATTTGTAAGGTAGAATTGGAGTCATAGTAGTGGGGAGTGGAGTTGCATTAAAAAACTAGAGGAAAGTTGTATGTTTCATCAGTACTGTACTGCACCCTGACTGGCTCGTCTCTTCCTTGTGACCCTTCTGTAAGGGGATGTCCAACTGTCTACATATGGGGTTTGGGTCTCCACTCCCCCTTATTCACATTGATAATGATTTTTTTGTTCTGGGTCTTTGATGCCTGATACCTTATCCCATTGACACCTTATGATCACAAAGGTTGGTGCACTTCTTCTATGTGGGTTTTGTTGCTTCTCAGCTAGATGACAGCTTGTTTATCTTCAAGCCTTTAAGACCCAAGATGCCAGAAGCAACAAAGCCCACATGGAAGAAGCACACCAGCCTATGCAACCACGAGGTGTCGAAGGGATCAGGTATAAGGCATCATCAGAACAAAAAATCTTACCATAGTGAATGATGGGGGGAGTGCGGAGTGGAGACCCAAAGCCCATTAGTAGGCCACTGGAGATCCCCTTGCAGAAGGGTCTGGGGAGGAGACGAGCCAGTCAGGGTGCAATGTAGCAACAATGAAAAATACAACTTTCCTCTAGTTCCTAAATGTTTCCTCCCCGCTCCCACTATCATGACATGAATTCTGCCTTGCAAGTCTGACTAGATCAGAGGATGTACACTGGTACAGATAGGAACTGGAAATACAGGGAATCCAGGGCGGATGATCCCTACAGGACCAGT